CTTTACTATGGCAACCACAGGAACAAGCTGGGCAAGGAGTAATGGTTTGATTGTAGAATGAAGAAAAGGACACACAACAGCGTGGATGTCTGGATACTAAAAACTGCGAGTACGTGCATGTCACATTCCATGTCACTGCATCCGGATAATCAACCATTAATTTAAGTCGTAAAGAATTATTTAAAACGTAAAAAAGTATGGTTTTATACAATTTTTAACTAACAGAAAGACATAGATAGAATTACTTAATGCTTGAGTCTTTCGCCTACGATCAGGAGTGAGATAGACTGTAGAAGGCACAATTGTTGCTGGGCCACAAGTGTAGCCAGGACCAGGAGCGAGCAAAGTGAAATTCTTGGGCAGTTTTACAGTTTTATTGGAAGTGCCAGCGAGGCCGACACTGACTTGAAAAGCGGAAACAGCAGCAGAGGGATCTTGGCCCCATGACGACACCACTCCGCCTTTACAGCAATTGGATATTTGTTGATTGTAAGGAACTCCAGGGAGCAAATCCACAACCACGGGGTTTCTCTTGCAACAATGTGGCATGTTTCCTCCTTTGAACTTTGAACAATCTCCCTGTTCAGTGGTTTGGGCTCCCACCATTGACCAAATCACTTCTTTCTTAGCCCAATTCCATCCCAGGGTCCATCCAGGACTCATGATATGCCTATACATTTGAAAATTGTTCATTGTCACTGTTGCCTGCATGCAACATGCAATCAACATATATATAGTTTATATTTTGTTACACTAGTCGTCGAATCTCTTGATGACAAGAAACCGATAAGCTCACCACATAACCATCTGGGGTCCAGGAGATCACATCCCATTTGATTGTTATATTTCCAAAAGGATCCAGAGGATCAAATGCCACTGAAATTACATTACGAGGTTGTTATAAGTACTAAATATATACCTTACACTATTGCAGCAAACATATTAATCACTTTACCATACTTGATCTCTGAGAAAAAACCAAAAGAAGAACAGGCCATATGCTCAGATTTAGAACAGAAAGGGGGTGCCACAACTGATATGCGGACTTGAAAACCATTTCCCTGACACTTAAACCTGCTTCTTGGATACTTCTATAATTAACGCAGCAACAGAAGAATCTCCTTTGGTGAATTAAAAAGGCGAAGAATAAGGTAAAGAATATGAACGCATGGAGATAGCTTACCTAATGGTGGTTGCATGTCTATTGAGATTTTCAAGATTCACCCTTAGCTTTTTTAATTAACCAGATGAGTTTGCTGTTTGCTGAGAAATCAAGCAAGAGGTGTGATGGTTAATTTACACTGGCAGTGTTTAGAGTGATGGCAAGTCATTATCTCCATTTCATATATAATGATCTGACTTTTTACCCATAACCATTCCCTACCTAGAAGGACTAAATTCCTCTTACCAATAATGTTTGGTAAGTAATCCAAGCCTTACATTTTCTTAAATTATTGACCAATGCCTATAAACATAACAATTGCATGATGGTAAATATCTGGAAATTACTATGATCTAACTCTCATTTACACCACCTATTGATCTGAAAATTTACGGGCGTCTTCCCAACTAGTTAATCTTCGATCCGACTGAAACCGAGTGGATTCGGATGGAATTTGGTCCGGTTTTTAGCCTTGCGAACAATAGTACAGTTTACTGCCAGCATCATATTTTTCAGCCCAATTTGATAATTAATTTGAAAGCCCACAAGAGTTAAAATAACAGCCCATTTAGGAATTAATCAGCAACCCACGATAACAATATTTAAATGGGCTAATTATCTTGCTTGGAGTTTATGGGAAACGTGGCTAACAGAAAAAAAGAAAAAAAGAAAAGAAAAGAAAAGGGCAGTCCACATGAAGTAATTCGCAATCCAATTGAATAAAGTTGTTGGAAAAAAACGCAGCATGTATACAACAAAAAGCTTAGAGCATTTCAATGTTTGGAAGCAAAGTCAAGAGAGAAGAGGGGGCGTGGCGCCTCATTATTGGGGTGTTCTTCCTTTCTTTTCTATCTTATTTATTAGGGAAGAGAAAACATCACAAACGGTACCTATGCTTTCATAAATTTGATATATAGTTCTTAATTTCGAAAAACCTCATATATGGTTTCTGTGTTTTCAAAATTTTTGATGTTTGGTCCTTATTGTTCGTTCTATCATCTTTTGTCCGTCAAATCTTATTTTATTAAAATAATGGAAGAGTAACTTCGTCTTTTCACTTGTAACCTCTAATTAAATGAGGGAAACCATTATGCCACTCTATCTTATTCACGTCAACTCCCAGACCCGTCCCTCTCCCAAGAAAACACTGAACTTCTTCATCCAACCATTCGAATACAAGAACGAAAATTGTGTTTTAGGGTTTAATCAGAAGGAATATTCGACAATGATTTTCTTAATATGGAGTATGTGTCAAAAATATCAAGCCTGAAGGACTTGCGAATGATATACGGTTTGATTCTTTAAAAAAATCATTTTTTTTCTTGAATGTGTTCATGAAGAGAAATCAACATCTTTACCCTGTCTATTTTTGTGTTTGCAGAAGGATATGATAATTATTTCACGTTAAAACTATATTATAGTGGTATCTTCACCAAGCCACCTGAAAGGCAATACATTTGGAAGGAAATACATCTACATTACTGTATCATACGTAGATGGTGTTGACATTTCAGTCCATGAACTTGATGACATGGTTCTAGAATTAGGGTACAAAATTGAACAGACCCTTTACTACTATTTCTATATCCTGAATACCCCCTTAGACTATGGCTTATTGCCTTTAGGTAATGACCAGGACGTACTTAAAATGGTTTTGTATGTCCCTAAACACAGACTTATAAGGGTGTATATTGAAAATGATCAAAGTAGGATACCTACTTATTTTAAGTCTCCTTCCAAAGTTGTTATTGAAGAATTGGAACCTGAGAGTGTCACCAGAAATGAATAGAAAAAACCTTATACAAGAGAAGTATGATCATGTAGTAGAAAGCTTAATTTAAACCACCCTATCAATTATGTTGTTGAACAGTCACATGTAACAGATATGGATGAAGGGCATGGTCATTACAAGACTACTGTTCCATATGTAATATCATAGGCTATCCAACAAAGTAATGTCATTGATGTGAATGAAGGAGTGACCATGGGTACATAGAATAAAAAAAATAAGGGATTAATCATTGAAGTTGAAATTAAAATTCAAGAAGAAGTGTGTAAGGGTAATTTAGTTAATCATGAAGTTGAGTCTGGAGAACTATTAGAAAGTTACCATGTTGATTATAACTTCCAAGATGTAGAGGAACCAAGTTGTCATGTTGATGGTAGAGTCCACAATGTAAGAGTTGATGAAGTCCCACCATTTATAGAGGTTTATTCAGTTTTTGTTGAGTATGATGTCAAGTACAATGTAGCAAGTGGTTGTGAAACTCAAGTAAGAATGGATATTCTAGAGGTAATGGTAAGTGATGATAATAGAGATGCTTTCTATAGTGAGAGTGGGGATGACCTGATAACAATACATATGATTTTGATGATAGTGACTACAATGTAGAGGAGCCTAACATATAATTTGATGTGGATGTAGACATGAGTGAATTCCATAGTGTTGTGAATGTAGATAAACATGGAATTTTAAACAAACTACATGGAATGACATAGTTAATGAAGAGTTGGAATTTATCGATAGTGATGATTATTATTTTAAAGGATTTCATGAAGATGATAGGAATAGAATGCTCAAGGAGTTGACTAGGTCAACTACATGCTCATATGTGGAGGTTCACTTAAACCCATTTAGGATAGGCCGAACCTTCAAAACAATGGTGAAAGTTAAAAATTACAAGAATTCACATGCTATGAAAACAAGGAGGTCCCTTTTACTTGGCAAAATATAATAAAATCAGAATGAGGGTGAAATGTGAAGGTGTTGTAGGGAAATCTATTAAATCAGTTTAATGCGGTAGGCCATTAACTAGAAGTAAGGTAAAGTGTAATTAGAAATAAAGAAGTATGTCCTTGGGCAGTCTAAATCTCAAGGCCCAGTGAAAATCATGATTGGATGGTGAAAACAGTACAAGATGAACATAAATTTTTGCAAACGAGGGAAGTAAAAGTTGCACAACCAAATATTTTGCAAACACAATTCTTCAACAAATTTAGAGTAACCCTAGAATTCTAATAAAAGCTTTACACAAGGAGTTGTGTAAGAAACTGGAGCTCGGAATGACAATTCAAATGGTTGTTAGGGGACAATGGTTGACCGTATCATTAGTGGGGACTACCAAGTACACTATAGGTATATGAGGGATTATGTTTTGGAACTAAAAAACACATGTCCTGGTATAACAGTTAGGATAAATGTGTATCCTGAAACATGCTTATCTAGTACCATAAGAACTTTTAGAAGTGTATATATATATAAGGGTGCATTGAAGTTGGGATTCAAATCTGGGTTAAGGGATTTCCTTGGAGCGGATGCTACATTCTTGAAAGTCTTGTATCCTGGGCAAGTACTAACTGTTGTGGGTCTCGACTCAGACAATGGAATCTACCCTGTAGCATATGCAGTAGAGGAAAAAATAACTAGTTCTTGGACTGGTTCTTGAAACTGTTAGGAGAAGATTTGGATCTAGGAGAAAATTCAAAATTTATCTTCATTTCTGATAGACAGAAGGAATATATTACCTCATTATTTTTCATGTTAGTGTATGTGACATCCCCAAATTTCACAGCTAGAAAAGCCAATGTAATTATGATTATTTCATGTCCGAGTATCCTTTTTAAAGAACTATAATGCGGAATTTGTTCCCAATAATGTGATAATTTTATTACCAAACACTTTCGAAGAAATGCGTTTCATTAATAACTTTCGGGATGTCATTGTCAATACAAAAACATAAGCATAACGAAAATATTACATGACTTACATTAACTTATACTAATGGACTAAAACTCCTTGAATCTCTCAGCATAATGTATCTTCAAACCATTATCTGCGATACAAAAAAATTGAGTAGGTCAGGCTTAGGAGCTTGGTGTGTAACAACCATAAATTTTACGCCAAATTTAAACTTTTTCAATCATAAATAAAAACCAAATAGCATTGTTTACAAAATGTTTTCATATCCTTTTCCATTAGAGTGTCCCAAAAATCATAACATAAGGATGAGGAGCGGTACGGTCACGCCTTCGCCTTTCCATGATCTCCTGAAGTACATAAAACAATAAACCGAAAACTGTAAGCCCGAGGGCTTAGTGAGCTACCCCCAAAATACCAATATCACACTAACAATACCATATCAGTAATAATCAATCAATCAATATGCATATTGGGCCATCGGCCTGACTGGACTACCCTACTGAGCCTACAGTCTGTCTGGATCTATCCCGAGCCTTCGGCATGACTGGTCTGCCACGTGGGCCTGCAGTCTCCCCGGACCGCTCATAGGGTATGTTGGCCTTCAGCACAAAGCGGGACCGCCTCAACCCAACCAACAAGAAAATAACCATGTGCGCATAACTATCATATACTGGCATATACAAACATCAAACATATATATCTCACTGATCATCAATCATAGAATTCTCCCGTAACTAGAGTACCGACCTAGCAGGTCACTAACATATCAATCCCTACGGATCATAAGAGCATAACATACTGTCTACCCTGATTCCGATCTAACGGATCATGGCCACATGTAGCATACCATAACAATAAAAACTAAAGGGCCGTCCCTAGTGCCGTAGACCCTATCAATATAGTGAGGATAACTCACCTCATAGATGTCGACTCGAAAGGTAAACCCCAAATCTCGGATCACTTGACACAGACTCCACCACCTATTATCATAGTACAACATACTCATAAGTCCTTAACCTTATAAGGTACTCCATAACCCACTAGTCAACCCCTGGTCAATATCAAAGTCCTCAGTCAAGGTCAACAGTCCATGTTGACCTTAACTCGCCGAGTCATCGGGGTGACTCGTCGAGTTCCTTCGATTCTCGATCAAACTTTAAGGCCACCCGTCGAGTTTCCTCCTTGCAACTCGATG